GCACTGAAAAAGGTGACTTATGACCATTTTTCACACTTATGACTGTTGCAGCATCCCCACAGTCATGAGAGGCCAGGTGAGGAGATGCGTGCCTCAATGTGAGTGATACTGAGTTGGCCACGCCCAGCCAATAACATGACCACCAAGCCACGTCCACCTAGTCACATGACTACCAAGCCATGCCCACCAACTAAGCCACGCCCACATAAAAAATTTGAATCCCACCCCTGATTGCACTGTACAACATATTGAATCACAACTAACCAACTAACTTTCAGCTTAGGTTAGTCTATATGCTTAGTTTATGATTGAATGGGTCATTCAAATTCATTATTATTTATTTAGTGCATGGTCAGAACATGACAGAAGAGAAGTAAACATATACGTACAATATTCAACCCATAAAACTGTTAATGGAGAAAGGCATGTGGTACAAATGCTTTGCTTTTGTAATTTGTCCTATTTATAACAGTACGTATGTTAGAATGACACTGCAGACTTTTTCTGCTAAGGTACAAACCTTATGTATCTGCCATCGTAATTGTTTCTCTATAGAAATATTAATTTAGTTTAGTTTAATTTACTTCGTTGTCATTGCACCTTGTACAATGAAATCAAACACCATCTTCAGTGCACATCATGATCATGACCATGAAAATAAACACAAACACACATCCTTCACCCTCCACACATTGAACCGAACCCACCCCGACACCAGATCAACACTGCACTATATAGCAGAATTCAAAAGAGCTACTACCCTGGGATAGAAACTGTTTTTCAGCCTATTTGTTCTTGTTTTTATTATTCTGTACTGTCTGCCACATGATAATAGTTCAAAAAAAGGGTTCCCAGGATGAGATGGATCTTTGAAAATGTTTTGAACATTTTTAAGGCAGCGGAGCTATAAAAGCTCTTCCAAAGAGAGGAGAGGACAACCAATGATCTTCTGGGCAATGACGTTAACCCTCTGGAGTGCTTTCCTATCTGCCATTGTGCAATTGGCAAACCATACAGAGGTTCAGTATGTTAAAATGCTCTCTATGGTACAGCAGTAGAAGGTCACCAGCAGTTTTTCATTCAGTTGTTTTCTGAGAAGTCTCAGGTAGTATAATCTCTGCTGGGCCCTTTACCAGGGCTGCAATGTGGGCACCCCAGATCAGATCCTCTTTTAGGATAATACCCAGAAACTTAAAACTGGCCACTTGCTCCACTCGGTCTCCATTGATGAGCAAGGGCTGGATGTCTGATCTGTTCCTTCTATAATCTACCATAAGCTCCTTGGTCTTATTGGTGTTGAGGACCAAGTTATTGTCTCCACACCACGAAAGCAACTGGTCTACCTCATCTCAGTAGGCAGACTCATCCGCCCTCCCAGAGATAAGTCCTACCACTTTTCATGCAGAGAAGAAGCATTAACATTGTCATATGCTAAACTGTTATTTGTTGACATATCAAATCCAAGATTCAATGCCACTCCATCTGGAAATTTATACTTTGCACACTCATTAAGATGATAATATGTTTTATACCAAACAACTTTCCTAAATCTGTTGAGAAATAAGTCCAGCAAGTCACTTGGCATGACATGAGAAAAGTGAAGTTCTCTCACTATCTTCCATTGCCACCATCAAGAGAACCAATTATCTATTAAAATTATTCCTTTTTTAAAAAAATTCCCTTCATTTTGGGTTGTTCCTGTGAACTTATTCCTCAAATAGGAAAAACAATTTAGAATTTATTAGAACTATAGGCAAAATGGTATCAAGTCTTTACAAATAGAAACAATAAACATTAAAGGATCCATTCAATTAAATAAATGAAGCAACTGCAATGTAATTAAAAGGATTAATCAAATTACAAAGCAGTTGACTGAAAATATAAAAATGATAAACCAGAATCAATTGACACATAATCAATGACTCCCTTCTCCCCAAATTAGTTCAAACTGTGGAACAGTATAGTACATTCCAATTTTTGTTTAAAATAAATATGGTCCATAGAAGGATTTTAAAAAGTCAAGGGGGTGACCACTCTATGGTTCCAATTATATGGTTTGGATGCCCTGCTGAATTAAAAAAACTTCCCCCGTTGCCCCAGTTTATCTACCACTTTAATGAAAAACATTTTTTTCTGATGATATAATTTATAGTAGAGCAAAGTGGAACATAAATAATAGTGCAGTAATTCTACAGCATTAAATGCATTTAAATAATAGCAATCTCAGTATTATGAATTCATTTTATAACTTCCAATATGTTCAGCTAAATTCTGAATTCTTCCAGAAACAAATGGGATACTACAATAAAAAAGTCATGATTTCAATTGATCATTGTAAATGCAAAGAACTATAGGTGCACTACCTCTGCTTTTTTTATTTTAAAATAGTATCCTAAAGTAAACAGGACATTCTGATTTATTTTGCATCAACTATTTCTATAAGAGCTGAAGAGATAAAAACTCAGTTAAAACTATCTTTGGTTGAGAATGTAGCTTCATGCAATGCCTTAGTCCAAAGTTAGTCCAGTTCAGCTTCATTCAGCCAGATGTTATTGTCCATTTATTTGATTCCTTATTCGCAGCATGAACTTTCTTCAGGCTTCATTCAACACAGACTTCAGGAAGCCCTGCCAATCCTCTGTGCTTCATTTACAGTATCAAGAAGCAACTAAATTTAACATATTTATGATGCGATAAGGGCAGTCCTGTGGTCCAAACTTTGCACCCTACCTCCAGCCCTCTTTAATAGCTTGCTTGATCCTGTGAAAGCAATTGAAACACTTAGGTGGGTTGCAGCAAAATTGTGTTGCTGAGGCTGAATCTTTTTATTTATCTTTTGAACGTTTACATAGTTTAAATTATATAAGAGACAAAAAAGCTTTATATTAAAGTGGATGTACAGTTAAGATAACTGAGCTAAAATTACATCATTGTGGGACTTGCATTGTTGAATTTGTACAACGGGCAGAATAAATAAAGCTGGCAACAGCTGATTTACAGTCCAAATGTTATCCTCCCAACCAAAGTAACAAATATCTTATATTTGAAAAGAGACCGAGTAATAATTCACAAACTCTATGAAATTTATAGAAGGTTATTAGTTTTAAATTATATGGAAGTTACTTGTGACATATACTTTTGAATAAAGGAGGAGTTCCAGTGATATCATTTTAGAGCTAACTATGGAGCTTTTATGTAGAAAGTTTAAAACCTTGAAATCCTTTACCAACCTTTTATATCCAGGTGCCTTCCAGATGTGTTGGAGAACAATCAGAGATGTATAGTTCTTTCTATATTCAGTCTGCAGTAATATTATATTTTTATTTCCTTTACATATTTTGTGTGAATCATGTATTATTCTTTGCCTTGATGTATTCATTTTTTGAAATATATTTTAAATGAAATTTGAGCTGAGAAATATTTAAGTCCTTGTGGATTTTGTGAATGACATACTGTATTTTGCCAGAGTTCTTATTACTTGAAAAGAAATTTATCAGATAAATCTGACATTTCTAGCTACAACCCTCCCACCCCAGCATTCCTACAGTTAATGACTATGTTAACTGAGAATTATGGAAGGCCAACTCTACTGAAGCACATAGTCCTTCCTCTATTTGTACATATTTAAGATAGTTTTTTTTTAATTTTAGCAATTACATGATAGACTAAAAGTTAAGAAATGAACATGAGAAATGGATCCTTATTCCAATCTCCATATCATTTTGATTATAAGGTTAAAAGGGGGGTATAGGTGAAGTTTCTAGTTTTATTTAACATTGCAGTATACAATCTGCTTTTTTTGTTCACAGATGAATATACTTCTAAAATATTACACATAGCTAAGAAAAGGCTGTGTGATTAAACGTTGGACAAATGTGAATTGGAAGACAACTTTTAAAAATCTTGCATCATTATTCAATAACTTTCCAGAATATTTTTAATGCTAGCAACATATGAAACTAATACAATCAAAGGATTACTTTACAGATTTATTACTTATACTTTTTTGAATTTTGCTTTTATGAGCAACCAAACAGAAATTCAAATAAATATTCTGCCCAGCTGAATATAGGGAAACTAGGGAACTGATATAGGAACCTGTCTGGCACACAAGCATTAAGCAGCCTGATTGCTCTTTATGATCTACTCATGTTGCAGAATATAAAATCTAGGTTTGATGGATTGTAATGGGGACTTGATATAGTTCTTTCATTATGAATAAAGCATATTGAATGAATATATACTGCATATATTGTCTAGTTCATGGGATGCCAACAACAGTACAATGACTTGAAAGATATAAAATAGCTTGAGAATGCTTGGAGTAAATCTGGACTTTAGTTGGACTTCTGTCATACTGACTGAAATGTGCCACCATATTGCTCACCATTAGTGGGGACTACTGCATGTGACATAAGTGTTGCTGAACTGTTTTCTATATACATTATCAGCCCATTCCTTTTTGATCTACTGAGTTGTTTGTATAGCTATTGTTCAGAGAGATTTGAAAGAGATCCATTTATCTCCCTGAAATATGTGCAAAATGTAAGAGTACCATGCCCCAAAGTAATAATTATGTGTTTAAGCCAGCATTAGTTTACTGAGTGTAAATTTCATTCTAATGATGATCAGCTAGCAGGTGATAAAGAAGAAAATATTATATTTATTGGAATTAAATTAATTAAATTGGTTTAATTAAATTAATTAATCTGCTTAAATAAGTTTTTTTTCTAGGGGCTCTATTGAACTCCCCATTGTTAATGGATTCCTCACTTAGCACATCTAACTTCATGCCTGAATATCAATTGGAACTTGGTTCCTGTGTCAAATCTCAGTATTCTATAAATCATCTCATATTTATTTACTGTTTTTCTTTCAAACTGCATTGTAATATTGATGAGTAATAGGATTTCTACCCATTATATGTTCCAGTTATGATGTTAAATTTATGAATTAAAATTCAGGTTTAACTAATAATTCTGTTGTTCTTTTTTAAACAGGACTCCCTGAATGTTATTGAACCTGGTTTAATGGAGCTAAATAGCACAAGTGAAGATGCTCTAGAATGGGATGAAATGGATATAAGTAATAAGTTAATTAGTATTAATGAAGAATTTACTGAACCTGAACCAAAACAAGATGACACAAAGCTGAATTCTCCACCTGAAATATCTGATAATGGTAATCCAAAACAAGAAGGAGCCCCTAACATTCATGAAGACAATCTCTGTGATCCAAGAGTGCCATCTTCTTCAGGCCCAAAGGTCTATCAAGTATATAGTCTCCACAATGTTGAATTATCCAGAAAAAATCATATATCTCTCATGAAAAACACATCAAAAGATTCCAGTCTTACACCTTCAACTACTGCAAATAAAGACACAAGTAAAGATTCTTCCTTATCTATAAAATATTTGCCAGATTTACTGTGTAGCACCACATTGGCAAAACCGCAGAATTATATGTATCATGGTGGAAACATTACCAGGCACTCTGAAAGTCAGAATAAAGTAATCAGTGAAAAAAAGCCAAAAGCTGTCAGTAACTCTGAAATCCAATTGTTTTCTGATACTGATGGAATACAAGATAATTCTATGCCTAATATTTCAGATTCTGACCTAGGGAATATAGTTGATGTGATAAAACAAAATTTTAAGCAGAAAGATGAAGAAAGCCTTGATAATGTCACTACATCTGAACCAAAGTTTAGTAACAAAACAAAAGATGTAGACAATGGTGCCCATCATGATTCTGTGAGTGCAGAAGAATTACAAGGAAAACACAATGCTTTTACATTTTATGACTATTCATATCTTCAAGGTTCAAAATTAAAGCTACCACGGATAATAAAGCAACCACCATCAGAAAAAGCACATAAGCAGAGCAACTTGCTTCATGGCTTTTATTTTGATAAAGTTCCCTTTATATCTGGAAATCAGCCTGGGGACTTAAAATCATGTACGGAAAAGCTTGCTTTACCAATCGACTGGAATGATGCTGATCCTAAACACACGGAGTTTGTGGAAGATTTAAAGAAACTATGTGACACAACAAATGGGAAAGTGCTTTCAACTCTATCTCATAGCTCTTCTTTGGATTCCCTTTCTTTGACAAGTGATTTGTTTGGTTTAACTGTTTTTAGAAGTGGAGACAGTCTTAATCGTAGCACTTCCTTAGAGAGCTGGCTAAATCCCTACAAAAGCAATGAAGATCTTTTTAGTGGTAATGGCTCCGGTGACCTAAGTGGAAGTAGTGATTCTGTTGGAGAACTCAGTAAAAGGACGTTAGATCTTTTGAATCGCTTAGAAAATATCCAAAGTCCTTTAGATCAAAAAATAAAGCGTAGCATCTCTGATATCACCCTCCAAAGCACTTCTCAAAGAATGTCCTTGACTGGACAAGTATCCCTGGATATTGCCTCCTCAATCAATGAAGATTCACCTGCTTCTCTCACTGAGTTAAGCAGCAGTGATGACCTGTCTCTCTGCTCTGAAGATATTATAATGCACAGAAACAAAGTACTAGATTCAAATGCATCATTCAGAAAGCACCTCAATTGTTCTGTTGCTGATGAGAGTGATACCAACGTTAGCATGATTGTTAATGTTTCCTGTACCTCCACTTGCACTGATGATGAAGATGATAGTGATTTGTTATCAAGTTCTACTCTCACCTTGACTGAGGAAGAGCTGGGCATGAAAGATGAAGATGATGATTCCAGTATTGCAACTGATGAGGATATTTATGAAGATTCCAATTTAATGTCAGGACTTGACTACATTAAGAAGGAACTTCACACTTGGATTAGACCTAAATTATACCTGACGAAGGAGAAGAGGAGACAGCGTGTGGATGATGAAATTCAGGGCTGTAAGGAGTTAAGAGGTGGTGAGACTTTGAAACCAAAAGATTCATTGAACATTGAACAATTTTTGAGTGATTCCATATGTAAACTTTCACAAAATAATGGCCACAGGAAGAATGTATTGGAGAATCATATGTCAGAGACAAAAAGACAAGCAAAAAATGAAGGTTTTCAGCCTTTGCAAGGTTGCTTAGTAGATGATATGGAGAATGGAAATGTTGCAGTTACTCAAGAAAGTCTAAATGGGCAACATATTTCAACATCTGCCATAACTGTTAGTACATTAGATAGGAAAGAGAATGAAAATGAAGATTGTGTCTGTGAATCATTTACTGATAGTTCAAAAGATTCTCATATTAACAGTAAAGAAGATGTTCAACTACCAAATATAACCAGCCCTCAAAAAGAGTATCAAAATCATATTCAGTATGATGACCAGTGTATTAAAAATCTTATCACAGAATTTGACTCAAATGTCAAAGAAGACAGTACACCAGGTACAGCATTACTAATATTGCCTCCAAGTTATCAACAAAGTAAATCAGGAATTAGTGAGACTGTTACTGATTGCTGTGCATGTTTAAAATCAAATGAAGCAGAAAAAAACACATCAGCTAGCAGTCATGATTCATGTTGCAACTGTGAATCAGTTGCTTTTGATAAAAGAAATGGGGAAGATTGCTCAGTGCATAATTTTGTGATGGAGATAATTGACATGGCTTCCACAGCCTTGAAGAACAAATCACAGCCTGAAAGTGAGCCAGCTGTTCCACCTTCATTAGCCCAGATCAAAGAAAAGGTTCTAGAACATTCTCACAGGCCAATCCAACTTAGAAAGGGGGATTTTTATTCTTACCTTTCACTCTCTTCTCATGATAGTGACTGTGGGGAAGTAACTAAATATGTTGAAGAAAAAAGCAGTACTCCGGTTCCATTGGATTTTGCAGAAAACATTGAATGCTTTTTTGAAGCCTGTCCTGAGGAAGAACGAGTTGAACAGCAGATGTATATTCTTCCTAATGAAGCTGAGGCAACTTTGGTCAAGCACAAGGATTTGAATTTAATAGATGAACACCAAACATCTACCAATTGTAACAGCTTTTCTTTTTTATCTAAGGAGATGGGTACAAATCCTCCAGGCACTTTTAGCAAAACAGGATCAGAGAATATAAAAAATAATCCTGATGAATCTTTTGATCAAGAGACCACTAACAAAGGTCCAGTTTTGAATTCTTTTCCAAATGACTCTATAGAAAACCATCCAGGTCAGTCCTTTGGCACTGCAAAATCTGAAGAAGATTTTGCCACCCCTTTGAAGGCCTTAATTAAAGCCACCCAGTTAAAACCTGATCACTTGAAAGGCAAAGAAGTTAAGCACCCAAACCCAAAAACTCTTGTATGTGAAGAAAAACTCCTGCCTCTTTACAGAGAAAGGCACATAAATACAAAGAGATAGAATGCAACTGTCCCTGGACTCATCCGTGTTATTTCATGAGCAGGTATGTACTGAAATATTGACGACTGAATATTATTAGTGACATGACCATATAATTAAACAAATTGTAGTATTGCTGGTGACTGTTTAAGTAGATAATAACCATGTGCCTTTTGAATTTATTTTCACAATAACAAAATGATATTTAAGCTTACATTTTACAGATAGTCAGGTTACATCCATTCTTTCAATGACCATGCAAAGTTACAAAGAGGCTGAAAAAAATGGACTCCTCAAAATTGCAGCCATTGCAATTTCCCCGTGGTCACATGATCAAAATTTGAATGCTTGGCAACTGGCCCACTTTTTGTTGCAGCATCCTGCAGTCACACTGCACAAACTGCCTCCATTTCAACTCCCTCCTTCTTTGCCTTTTGGCCACCCTGCAGAGCACAGCCATGATCACTGGTCTGCAGGGTTGCCTCCAGCTGATATTTTTCATCACCCTTGCCTCGCCTCACTTCTGCCACTTCCCCCATAGCCACTAGTATTTTTTTTCAATTGACTGTACCCCTCCTTCCTTTTGTGATTAAAAAAATTGATTGGGGGGGGGGAGGAAGCTGAAGTAGATGCAATTTGCACAGGGCAGAAGAGGAGTGGGTCATTCCTCAATGAATGACCGCACTGAATGTCTGCAACCTGGACTGCTTATAGCAATAGCACTTAGACTTATATACTATATACTTATATTATATACTTCACAGTGCTTTACAGCTCTCTCTAAGCAGTTTACAGAAGTAAACCCAATAATTTGGCTCCTCATTTTACCCACTTTGGAAGGGTGGAAGTGTGAGACAACTTAGAGCCTGGTGAGATTTGAACTGCCAAATTGCAGGCAACCGGCAGGCAGCAGAAGTACCACCATGCACCACCATGGCTCATAGCTCCCCTTCCAATTCTAATTAGTTCATTTAGAGAACATTTGTGCTTGGTTAACCTTAAATAAAATTCAGAATCAAGGCTATATTACATGCACTGGAGGAGGAAAAAAAGATATCGAACCATTATTTATACATGTCACTCGCTATTTCCTATTAAGTGTAGCAGTGCTGAGCTTACCTTATTTAAAGTATTTTAAATCCTAACCTGTGATACCCCATCTCATATGCTAAAATTTCAATCCTAACTACAATCCTAACATGAAATCAACATTAAAATTAATATTATTTGCCCTTGTCCATGTATGGATTATAGGCATCAGTTCTATAATCTTGATAGCATTGCTTTGAATCTCACATTTGTTTTCTGATAAAATTAAGTATGCATATGTCTCTTTTTAAATTTAAATTTGAGCTGAATGGTGACAAATAATTGAAGAAAACTGGTATTACCAGTATAGCCTACATTTCTGCACTGTCTTTTGGCTTATTGCACTGTCTAGTCCTGTGATGGAGAACCTATCGCACTCAGAGCCATTTATGCTAGCATGCGAACTGCAGGCAAACTTACCTCACTGGGCATACACGCGCCTCACAGCTATTTTTGGTTGATTTGAGGCTTTTTTCAGCTTCCCAAAGGCTTGAGGAAGGCTTCTGCAGGCTTCTGCAAGATTTGCAGGCCGAAAACTAGCCCCTGTTTTGTCACTTCCTGTTATGCACACCTGCAAAGGGGGCCTGGGGGGGGTGCACATTGCCTTCTGGGTGCTGGCATGTGAGTGCGTGCATGCAAGAGCGCGCATACTTTTTGGTACAGGAGCTCAAAAAGGTTAGCCACCACTGGTCTAGTCAAAGTCAACTTTAACAACTTATTGGCTCTATGCAAATTCTCAATGGGCACTTCCCCCCACCTCCTGTGTAATCAAAATGCTCCTTTCCCCCCTTCAAGAAAACCAGAAAACTGAATGTGAACTCTTGGAATTAAGAAACATGGCAGTTATTACTGAAACTAGTTCACCTTTACAAACCAATATGAATAGTTTATTGGAATGTGTATTAGCAAAGGAGGAAATAGATGCAGCTGTTATTTTCAGGACAATATTTGGAAATTACATATTTTCTACAGTTACAATGATGTGTTCTAATTCAGAAATGAGCAATCTACCTCCTCCAGCCTCCATTTCAAAAGCTTTATGATTTCACTTAGGTTTCTGGCAAGAATAATCTGGCTTCCTCAAATAAGGCTTGTTTTGAGAGTGAGAAAAAAGAAAGAGGAAGAAGAAAATGAAAAGCGAGTGAAAAAGAAAGTGCCACGAACAGGCAGAAAGCAAGCAAACCCTGCACACTTCTCTGCATGCTTAGTTTGCCCCCACAGCTTCTCAAGCCAGCAAGTAGACCCCAGGATCTCTAAGCTACCCACCAGATTCTTCAAATCCCTCCTCCCTACCATGAGGGCTTAGTTGATACTTTAACTTCATTTCTTATGCCATGGGAAATGAATTAGAAGCAATCTATCCTAATTTGTTAACTTATTCAAATAACAGTTATTATACTTAACTATGCTAAAGATTATCTTTTTGGTGGCAGATTGTTTATTTTTTGATGAGCCTAATTACTGATTTTCCAAAGGTAATTTACATTTATTACTAATACATCTTTTAAAATGTGACAGATAAATGTTGTTCCCATAAGTGTATTATGAAAAAAGTTACTATTTAAAAACACATTATTTAATTTGAAAGATAAATGGCAAACACCATTATTTTTTTTTCTTGGAGCACCTGTGCTGTAAGCTCATTAAAATGTGTGATTTTATGTGAAGCTGAGATACTTAAGAGAAAAATTATCTATGGTATATGTATACCCTAAAAATAAACCCAGTACGCAAAGGTGACAGTATGCATATTTACCAACGTAGCTCAACTAATTTAATGTGATTTCCACTCCAGCTGCAAGCCAGAATAAAGCTGTTGTGAGCAAATATATTTTCCTGCTGAATACTGTATATCAAAGCTGTAATCTCACTCTTTTATGGGTATGGTATAAAATTGACCATTAAGAGACAGCAGCTTCAAAAAGTTCTATGTACTGTAAATGATAATTCTGCTATTTTATCCAGATTACTGCTGACTTTATAACTGTATAGATATGTTTCCTCCAGAGGTTCAGAGCTTTTGTTTTCCATGGAGGCAAGATTTATCAAGAAAATTTATCATGGCACTTTCTTTTTCTATCAGTATGGTCCATAGCCTTTTACTCTTATACTTTTTTCTTTGAGGCACACATGAAGTTATACCAGATCCAATTATTTTTTATGCAGTCCAGTATTTTCTGATTTGTAAAGATCATCTAATGTGCCAGACAGAGGTTTTTCCCACCATCTGTCATCTAATTCTTTGACAAGGTGATGCCAAGTCATTCAAATCAAATCATCTTTATTAGTGTAATTGATCGATCCAAACATAAGACAATAACAGGGCAAAAGAAACAACAAGGGGTTCCATTTATGCAGGAAAATTTTGAACTTTTTCCAACAGGCGAGACATCTCATTCACCTAGCCAAGGTTAGGAAGCATAAAGGCTTCATGCTGGCCTCCTTCAATGGTCTTATTTTCAGAAATCTTTTAAGATAAATTCCACATCTCCTTTGTCTCTCACACTATTTTCTTGTATTGCTCATTCTGCTATATTTGTGTTGTTCCCATCATCCTATTTTTTTTCAGTATGAGACCATGTAGATTTATTTCCTTTCTATTGACCCTGTTGCACTGCAGACACAAGAGTTATGCTTAGCATGACCAAACTTTGTGCTCTAATTTATAAAGTCAACCAAATAATATTTTCTGGGATTGGTTAGTGATGAGTATTTAAGATCCCAAGCTTTAAGTGGATCTTGCCAGCCTACCAGGGTTGCTACTAATGATTATGATGGTGATGGTGATGATGATTGCTTGCAGAGTCAACCTGATGCTTAAAGGTACATTTGGCATTTTTGTCCACCTATCAAATTCTTTCCAAGAATCTGGGCTAGGAAGTGTTTAATAATATTAAAGGTACTGTCACAACAAAAGCTGTTCCAAGTAAAGTTGCCTTTTGAGATTAACTGATGGTGATTTTGTCAATACTGACAGTGTTCAAGTGATACTTCAGATGTTTTGGGATTGCACCCAAGACATCTATAACTATTGGTACTATCTTTGCTTTCTTTTTCTATAGCCATTTCACTTTTATTTGCAGGTTTTTGTATGTTGTGATTTTCTCCAGTTCTTTCTCTTCTGTTCTACTGTCTTCAGGTACTGCAATGTTCACTATCTAGATTTTTTTATTATCTTTCTTATTGACAAATGATAAGTCTGGGGTGTTATGTGACAGGTGCTTGTCTGTTTGAATTCTAAAGTCCCAGAACACTTTAGTTTCTTCTTTTTCAATTAATTTGTCTATTTTCTACCATTTCTTGCTTGCAAGCAAATGGCATTTCTTGTTCCAATGCACCATAGTTGCTGTATTTATCATGACAGGGTTTGTAGTCAGTCTATGCAAACTTCTTGCAGCAACTAACTAGGTGATCCACTGATTCTTCACTTTTTTTTTTTGCAGAGGCAGCATTTGTTGTCTATTGCTGTTTTCTCAGTTCTGGTTTTAAATGCATTTGTTCTTAAGATGTGTTCTTATGTAGCTAGAATTAGTCTCTCTGTATCTTTCTTCAACTTTCCTGTTCTTGTCCATTGCAGTTATCTGTTGGCCTGGTTTTTTTAATGCATTGGTCATATAGGACATTGCTTTGCTGTGTCTTTTTTCTATTCTTCATTTAGTCTTATAGGCCAGTTTGGTCTCTCTAGTATTTAGCAAGCTTTCAGTGCATCTTCTTCACTGTCCTTCAAATATTCTTGAAATGGTCTTTCTTCTTCTTCAACTGCCTGGGGTACTTTCAACATTTCATGCCCACCTATCTTCCTTCATAAGTATAGTTTGTCAACATCACAGTGAAGATGAAGGACATGATTCATTGTCTATGGAGATTCTCAATCATCCAGGTCGTGATTTGAAAAGCACCTTTCAGCATGATTCATTGTCATTATTTTTCTGGTCTTCCTATCCAGGACTTTTAGTTCCGTGGCTTGAGTCTAGTCCACTATACCAACTGTGTATCCAATGACTGGAATTGCCTCTGTGTTAATTGCTTAGATGGTGTTTGGGCTTGAAGATCTTCATTTTCATGATGTATTCACTTCTGACTTTCTTCTTAACTTCATTGTGCTTGAAGTTGTCATGCTGATATTGTGTTTTGTCAGCCAGATAGTTAGACTGGATTTGGCATTTTTATCTACCTATCTAGATGTGGGATATTATTATTCTTACTATTATCATTATATTATGTTCTTACTTTAAAAATAGTTCGATTTGATCCCAGAGAGGCTCATGTCTGCAAACTATTTGTACCATCACTGACTAGTGCTTAAAGCATCTCTATTCTACCATTGAGCTATGCTATTAAGTTCACACAAACTGACAGGAAAGGTCTAGAAGTGGCCAGAACTGGAACAACCAACCAAAGACATCTTCCATTCTCCTTAACCAAGGAGATTATTACCAAATGGTGATATAGGTCCAAGAAATCATGAAGGAATGAAGATGTAGATTAACCTTCTGGTTTGTTTCATGATTTAATCAGTATTGAAGATGTAGATTAACCTCCTGGTTTGCTTCATGATTTTATCAGTATTTTGTCAAAGTAGTAATTTTTTTCTTGAATTCTTATATAAAGAGTACCACAATAGTTTTATTTTCATTAAGTTGATAAATTTATTTTTTTAGCTATGTATAATTTTAGATATTTATAAAGCTTACGTACAGTTCCAATAGTTTGTTTTTTAAAAATATATTATTAAAAGCCAATTTAAGGTGTTGAGGCTAGATATAGGTCTGTATTTAAAATTTGTGGAGAGAGAGAGAGAAAGAGAGAGAAAGGGAGAGAAAGAGAAAGAGATCCACATTAATTAATATTAAACAAGAAGGTGACTGGATAACTGCAGATATTTTTACAATTTGGAATGTATAATATGCAAGGCTAGAGTGCCTCCTTGGAAATATTGTGATAAGGTACTTTGTACTAATCCCTTAACTGTATTCTAATAGTTTTTTTCCCATAATCTTCAACCTATGCTTTGGCTCTTTGTTGCACAGGTTAATCCAAAATTCCAAACTGAAAAGAAATCCCATCAGAAATACAGGTAGTATTTGACTCATGTCAATAATTGGAACTGGAATTTCCATCATAAGTCAGTGCGGTCATAAAGTGAGCCATCATGTGACCAGATGTAATTTTACAAACATTTTTACTTAATAATTGTAATAATTTTACAATCATTAAGCAAATGAAGCTTCCCCAATTTACTTTTTTGGAAACCAACTGCAAAGGCCACAAACCATGACCATGTGACCACAGGATGCTGCAAGCAGTTGTAAATTGTTGTTGTTGCCAAGTGCTCAAATTGGAAATTTTGTGATTATGGGGATGGGGCAACATTTGTAAGTGCAAGGGCTGGTCATAAGTCACTTTTTCTGAAGATATCATAATTTTGAACCATTGTTTAAACAGACATAAGTGGACAATTATCTATATTAATCATTCCTCCTGGTAAGAAATATTAGGGCAATATCAATTAATGGATTGTTTATCTTTGCCTTATTTTTTATTATTTTAGAGAGAATTCGATACAATATTTTAGATTATAGCCATATTTATATAATCTCAAATCTATATAGATCATTGGACAGTGAATCCTACTGATTTTAATAGGACTTATTTCCATGTAATAGGCTCAGGATTGCAGATTATTATTGGTTGGCTGGGTGCCCTTTATTGAGTCTTATGTGCCTATTGATTGATACAGTTTCAGAAGGTAGAGGAAGCATGTTCACAGATACCTAAAAGGATGGGATTGAGGGAAAAGGTCAAACTTGATTATTTCCCCTGTGCCTTTTGAAACTAAATCTTGTTTTATAAAAATCAATGAGGGTTTCCACTTCAATGAAAAGACATAACTCTGATTTAAACCATAAGCTACGAAAAATTGCTGTTCATAGCCGCTTTTGCATATACCTGTAAGGACACTGGTGTGAGATCATATAAATTGCTAATGTGGCTATTTTAGAAAAAAAAATGTGTTTTACAAATGGAATTATATTTGATGTAGCATGCTCTTACTTTTCTTTCCTTTTCTTTCCCTTTTTCCTTTTAGAAACTTGGCTGCATTTCAGATGTAGGCTTATCCTCTAAACCCTGAGATGACCTCTAATTCCATTGTATCACTGCCTTTTGTTACACTTGACTCCCAAGATAAATTTTCTTTCCAAATGTTATTTGTACATGTTGGCTTTGTAACCAGGTTGCATATGCTGGAGCAATTTCAGTTATCATTTGGCTTTGTAGAAAAACGGTTTTCTTTCATATGGGTTTATATGTCGAGCTACCTCTTTAACAACTTTCTTTTCAAATATGTATGCTTCTGTATGATATCTCATCCACTAATATTTTAATGATTTTGCAATTGCACAGTTTCTGTGATCATTTCAAGTCATCATTTCAGAACTGCACATGTTATCAATTATCCCGTTTTATGTATCAAATTTGGTATTTTATGTGTACAACCCATATTGTTTATTGAAAGTATTTTAGAAAGGAAATTTTTGATTGTAGCAAAAAGGAAACAATTGCTCCTGAGTCAAAAAGAACCAGTTAGACAAAGTAAATATAAATGTATCCTTTTGCTTTTTCTAACAGACAAAACAAAACTATGCAACACTTCAAGAAACAGCTATGTAGTGTTGTATATTAAGAATTGTTAACATTGTACTAAATTAAATAAAACATTTTGGTTTTCTACTATGCTTCTTGAGGTGGTAATCAGAAAAGAACCCCACATTTTAAAAAAATGGTGCCTTGCTGTATTTCTTATAACATTTATTAAAAAGTTGCTTTCACAGTAAAATTACGTTCATTTGAAAGAAGGAAATAGCAAGGTGTGAATCGTTTCTGTATATATGTATAACCAAGTGCAAACATTGATGTACAATGACAGTATAAAATGCTTTAATGTTTGTGATGCCTGGTGGTGTAAGAAAACATAAGCCTTAAAGCCATCAGATTGCATGATAATTAGAACTGGCATAATAAACATAAGTTTACTGGGGAAATTTTAGAACTGGCTCTCCTTTACCCCCACCTGTCTAAATGTGAATGTTGCATGGATCTGCCATAAGTATTTGAATATTTATAAGGGCCTCTCAGGTTTTGTGTAGGCCTTTAGGAATAACTTTGTCTGTGACCCTTCTGTCCTGAAAGTTCAGCTACTTCTGGTAAAATTGGAAGAGGACTTTGAACTACAATCTCATCCTGGAATAATTCCCTTACTGTCTCCACCTGTTAAAATGCCCATTTGAACACCACAGAAGAGGTCATCTTCATGAATCTTGTGTGTTAATAAGAACCAGGAGAAGTATGTGTTTTTTCTGAATATCCACTTTCCACCTGTGTTTCTTTTTTCCATAACAAACAGAAATATCTCCCTCCCTCTCTCCTCCCCCTGCCTCACACACACAAATATCCATTATAAAATGGCTCACTCTGAGGTTTACTGTCCCTTCATGCATCACGACTAAGTTGGTCAAAAGGGTTTCTTAGTTTCCAAATTCCTGCTATTCAGACAGCCTTCTTTAGCAAGCCATTACAATGATGAAAAAGTAATCTTTGAAGGTTTGTAAAGCAAAGGAAAGCTAGATCATAGGATCAAAAGTAGAGTAGCAATTTCACTTAATGACTATTTCGCGAAACAACTGAATTGTTGGTTGCAATTGTGGTCGCTTCTATAGTTTACAACACTGAACAAAAGTATAAAGAAAAATACAGATCTCTGTACAATGTACAACTGCTAATTTCTATCTAAAATGTAAATTTACTACAAGATGACAATGTTGTGCCACATCTGAAATCTCACTGATATTTCATTTGATATTGAGGAAGAATGGCTTATTTTCTCCAATCTTCTTTTCTATTGTTGTATCTGGAACCTTCCTCCCTTCCCAAATGATATTGGTATTACCTGAATATTCCCTCTGTTCACTGTGGGTGAGGACAGGACATAAAGTTGTTGATTTAGAAGAGTGGATCCCTTGTCATTTCTGGTGCTTTGGACCAAGGGATTCATAACAACTAAGGAGTATATAAGTTTAGTTACTGAATTTATCTGTTTTATATATATAATTTTAAAGTCCACAGAGAGTATATTCCTGAACAAATAAAAGATGCCAATCTTCCCTAGTTGTGGACTCCAAAATGATATGGACTACAGTTCTCATAATTCCCAGCCATTCTGGAAGTGGTAGGACTTAACTATCTGGGAAGATAAATGGTTAGGATCTTTTTTTCATACATGCATATTTTGAATATGTACATAAGAAAAAGTGATCAACATGTCATCATTCTTCATAGAGATAATTTATAGGTTTCCAAAGTTCTTATTTTTCAGTTAATTGGTTGATATAGTACTTAGGTAAGATATAAACCACAAGTAAATATGGATGAAAATGGAAACATACATATTATAGTGGTTCTTATATACAGGGTCAAATGAATGTGGTATATTAAACCTGATATTTCTGAATAAAAGGCTGAAAACTTTGTAATAATATTCAGATTTGATGAATCCCTCATCCAATTACAAGTTAAGATTGTAAATTCAGATAATGCATTGATTTTCCAGTTCAGTCCTGTTTTATTAGGCAGTCTTTGGGCCATTCATATTTATGCTCTAATTGGAAAATGTCTGGCTATTTTATTTACTTTTCTTCCAACAATGTGCACATAAAATCTGAGAATTTTAAATGTATAAAAGAAACCAAATCAATTTTTTCCTGAAATAACTAAGTATTGCCAACCCAAATGTGATTTGTCTATGTAAGTGGAAACAATGTTTCAAACTTCCCAAAAAGTACGTACACACACACACACACACACACACACACACACACACAAAGATGATAGATAGATAGATAGATAGATAGATAGATAGATAGATAGATAGAT